TAAAATTAATAATATACAACTGTACAATTGTTTTCATAAAACTTTCTAAATCTTTACAAATTCAAATCATAAATCGATCATAAAGATGGTACTTTAAGGTACTGTTTTTACACAAAAAATGATAATGTTTTTGATATAAAATAACTAACAGTAATCCTAATCATGTTCATAATATTTTCATTTAAAAATTATTTTTTGCATTTTCATTGAGGCAAAATTTTAAGATTCTTAGATAAAAACAACAATATTGTTAATAATTATAACAACATCATACTCCCTATTTATGGACGTTTCTCGTATCGCAGGTATCAGACAAAATACGATGGTGGTTTAGCCCAACTGATCGTTGACAATGCCCAGAGTGGTGATTCTGGAGAGTATACGTGCGTGGCCTCTAACGGCCGTGATCGAATATCCACTACTGGATTCCTGACGGTGTATACGTCACCGTCGGTTTTTAGGAAACCACTGCTACAGTCATCGCTATCTGTCGACGGTATCGAGTCCGGCCGCAGACTTTACTCTCAGAACAGCCACGATTTTCTGTTTTCTATAAATGACAAGTACAATTTCGGCTGCCAGAAGTTTAGTGGTGACTTGACCATCAGGCGCCCCGAGTATCCAAAATTCGTGTCCAGTATAATCGCCGATGACGTGGCGACTTATGGTGGCACAATCGCTCTCCAGGTTCGGGTGCAAGGTCAGTATTAGTTGCTTCATAAAATATAATATATACATAACACCTCGTTGAAATGGAATAAAGTAAATATCAATATTGCGCTTAGCTTTTTTCAATCGCGGTTTTATTAAATAAATTACTATAAAGAGCCAAAGAGGTGTAAACGCTTCGCCTGTTTCAGGTTCCCCGGTGCCGAATGTGACGTGGATGCGTGAATCTAGACCACTACCACGGTCATCGGACAAATACATTTACTTGGATGAGGGTGGGCTATACACGCTGCTGGTAATGGACAGCACCGCCCGGGATGGTGGAAAGTACGTGTGCCGCGCGTGCAACCTTTACGGGGTGGCAGACGTGGAAAAAGCAGTTAGGGTGGTGTCACCGCAGGATTACACCGACCGCAGGGGCGTGAAACCGGCCATTATCGTGTCAAGACCAAATGATCGGCTGAACGTAGCCGTTGGTGAGGACATAACCGTCACCCTCCGAGTGGCTGGTGAACCGAAACCCAAAGGTATACTTATAATAAGGGTTTGCACTCGAAGCGAGCACCCWTTTCGCAATAGTTGTATTACTTATTATGTAGTTATAATGTTGCGTGGCTTAGAAACAAAACTTTTCTACTGCAGTTAGATACAAATACGGATTTATTGACATGAATAATAAATTAAATGAATTTTTCATAATTTTTATTTGAGATAACAACATACCTAATTTCTAATAAATAATATATTACAATTATTAATACATATGTAGAATATTCATTATTGATTGATTTATTTAATGAAATACATAGGTGAGGACTGAGGATATCAGACAATAACATAATTAATACCAAACTCTAAACTGGTATAGGAAATAATTATTTATAAAAATATTATCTTTTAAATAATAATTTTGTACCTTTTTATCTTTTTCCATTACGTTAGTATTAGTACCTACCTACCCGCGTGCTAACGGGTGAATGGGGGTATCATATTTTCATCTACCTTGTCTCATTTTTATCAGATAAAAATAAAAATAMTAAAAATTCATGTAGCTTCTCCCTTTAAAAAAAAAACTGAGAACTCTACTTTACCTATCTAACATTTTACTAATGTAATATAATTATTTATTTATTTTATAGCCATAGGAAATAATAATAATTTATTTTATAATATATTATATCTTATACTAATATTAACAATCGATTATAATATTGTATATTAGTAAATATTAACTTATTAAATCTTCGCAACAAACTATCATAGAAAGCTTTTTATAATATATCTTACATTATAATATTGTATATTAGTAAATATTAACTTATTAAATCTTCGCAACAAACTATCATAGAAAGCTTTTTATAATATATCTTACATTATAATATTGTATATTAGTTTAATATTATCTTATCGATTGTTAAGTTTCATAGCATATTGTAATCGTAATAAATACGTTTGATATTTCTTCTAGTTATATGGATGAGAGGTTCGAGGGACGTAACATTCCTCGATCGATCGCTGAAGGAAACAGTCAATGACTACGTTATTCTGTCGATCAAAAAAGCGCAACCATCGGACGCCGGGACGTATTTTATTATCGCTAAAAACGTGTACGGATCTGATAGGGCGTTTGTCACTGTCGGGGTAAGTGATCGTATCAGCAGCTGGGTCTTGTCGGACAGCTCCCGGTAGGGAGGTGTCGTGATATATTATATTGTTATTAAATTATAATAATATATTGTTTTTTTTATCGATATCATATATCACTATCGCTCTACCTTTCGCTCTGTTCGATATACGAGTATAATATACGAATATTGTTGTAGCCTGCAATTCGAATAATATAATATTGTAATATATTACTATTATAATATACACCAGTTGTAATATAGCCAACCATTGCGGAGTTTTTCTTTTTTTTTCACTAATAAAAATTAACCAAAAACACAAATAATCAATTTGATTGAGATTTAATGTTATATATTATGTCATAATATATTATATAAATGTAAGTTTATTGTAAATAATGTAATATATAGGTAAATGTATATGCGTCCAAACGGTTATTGTTTTACAGACATTGTACATAATAATTTATATTAATACAATATCATTGTACTCGGCGCTCGAACACTAATCTGCACACACTACGACTTCCTTCCCTCGTTCTGAAAACTCCACCTATCGAATTTGTTTGAATAACAAGTCATCGTTCCCATTGGATATGGTACAAATACATTACGAATTCGAGTTTTTAGATATCGTGCGGTCAGATCAAAATTATTGCCAATATACTGCTAATCATATCACAATATGGATCTACACATAGTAATACTGCGGGTCAACTCTTGAATGTGATCGCGCGTATAGTGTTGCTTTATAATTTAAAACATCTTAATAATCATACCAAGCGAATTTTACGATTTTATCGCCATAAATTTGTTATATTTTATATATTGCTATTTATTGTTAATTTTATTTTAATAATAATTATGTCCACAATGATGACATTAAAATGTATAATAGATACCTATTATACCTGTTATTAGTCATTACTATAATATACATTTGAGTTTCACGCTTATAAGGGAACATATTTGTAGTAACTTATAAATTATTAATTTTAGTGTCATCTTTGTCATCTTAGTCATTAAAATCTGTTGACACTTGAACAGCATAATTATAATTATTTTTAATTGATTTATTGCGGACAATCTATATGTTCGTATATGACTTATTGACTATTGATCATTACTACAAGACTCGATGAGTGTATGGTGTTATCAAGAAATATGAATTCATAATTATAAACTTTGTTGAGTTTTGATTAAGCAAACGTTGTTATAAGTACATACATGCTTATTATGTAACGTGTATGAATTTTATTTTATTTACATAAAATATAGTTGAAATTGAAATTTAATCCATAGTATTTATCGAATATCATAATAATACTTAAAATCACACGACTATAYGATCTTACTACTTAAAATTACTGTACTGAAAAAGATTTCATACTTGTTATTTAAACAAATTAATAATTATAAGAACAAGAACTCAATATTGTATGCCAGTTATACAGGCTATAAGTACATAGGTAAAATTTAAATTAATACACTCTGGGGAAACAGAATTAAGTTGTTGATAACCGTAGTCACATCTATGTATATAGAGTGTACTATTGAATTGGATTATTCATGTTAAATAAAAATTATTAAGACGTAATTTCGACATTTTTATCATTCAATTTTAAAAATCTTAGATGGTTTTGAATCATAATTATTATTTGATTTTAGTGGTGATTTTATACATATTTTAACAATATAATAACATGTGCTACAGATTTTAGTTAAAGCTCTTTAAGACTTATTCACACTTAAATTTCTGGCATTAAATATATTTATTAAAATACGTAACATAATA